CAGCGGCAGGGCGGGGCCGCGACCGCGGCAGGGAGCTCCGCGGCAGTTGGTGCAGGGCGGGGCCGGGCCGCGACGGCAGCTGCTGCAGGGCGGGGCAGTCCGCGACGGACGCTGCTGTAGGGCGGGGCAGGGCCGCGACGGCAGCTGCTGCAGGGCGGTGCAGGGGCGGCCGTCCAAAGGGCGGGCGCGGGGTAGGGCAGGGCGCCGCGGCGGGCAGAGGCGACGCCGCGCGGGTCCCGCAGGGGCGTCGCGACGAGCTGGGGCAACGCCCGGGTCCCGTTGGGGCGGCGCGACGCGCACGAGTCGCGCCTCGCGGGTCCCGCAGGGGCGTCGCGACGAGGCGGGGGTGACGCGCGGGTCCCGCAGGGGCGTCGCGATGAGGCAGGGGCGGCGCGTCGCGACGAGGCAAAGGCAGGGCGACGCGTCGTGGGGTCCAGGGGCCGCGCCGCGGGGTCCAGGGGCGGCTGCGTGGGTGCAGGGCAGGGACAGCTGCTCTAAGGGCCAGGGGCGGCTGCTGCAGTGGCGGCTACTCCAGGGGCCAGGGGTGTGGGTAGGCAGGCGCTCGAGGGCGCGGGTAGGCAGGCGCTCGAGGGCGCGGGTAGGCGGGCGCTCGAGGGCGTGGGTAGTCAGGCGCAAGGCATGTGACAGGGCAGGCAGGCACGACAGTGCGATTAGGACAGGGCAGAAAAAAAAGATTTTTGGTGGGCCCTTAAAAAAAATAACCGGTCCCACTAGGGAATTTGTTTTGAAACCATGTGAGAAGTACAGAACAAGGAATGACTGAACTAGCAAGGAGATGGGTACAAGTAAGAAAACCTAGTAGTGTTGTATCCCATATAGTCTACCCCACTACAGCCTATACAGACTATGTCATAGATGTTTGACAAATGGTAACTTACATGGGGCAGTATAACGCGTACGGTAACGATTTCAACGCGTTTCGTAACTCGCTGAACGCGTTTGGTAACTCGCTTAACACGTTTGGTAACTCGTTTAACGCGTATGGTAAATATACACTAGCAGTTCATTGTTAAGAAACTAGCGAGAGTTTGGCTTAGGAGCCATAGTAGCTTAGGTGACTTGGTGAAGTTCGAGGGTGTAGGGTGTAAGGAAAATGTCGAGAGAATTGTGGAAGGAGAATGGTGAAACTAGAAAGGAGGGGGATACAAGTAGTAAGCCCTAAAAGGGTTATACTCACTTTTGAGTACCCCACTACAGACTAGACATGCATTATAATCTGACACACCCCCATAGTCAAAGTGGGGTATAATCAGTACAGCATGCAGGCATAGAGCTAGAGTTCACAATAGGTAGTAAGGCTAGAGCTAATCACAGAGGGCAAGTGAGGAGGAGGAGAGACTGTGGGGGAGAGATGATGGGAGGCAACTGCTAACACTGCAGACACACAGACGAGTTGCTGGCTCATTGGCTACCAAAGCAAAGGCCCGGACTACAGGAGTAACTGGCTCCGCAGCTAAAAGTAGCGGCAGACGAGCAACTGACCCACAGGCGACTGGCGACTAACGGAGATTGTAGCCTCCGGACTGCTGGTGCTGCTGACGACAAGACTGATGCCTCCACTTAACCTCCCCGAGCTGCCCAACGCCCCTCTCACACACCCCGTGCTCAAACCCTAGCCCTACACCCACAGCACCCCCTTAAACCCTAAACCCCAGACTCCCACACAACCACCCCCCTCAGCGATACCTGCAGCAGTGGGAGACAAAGGAGGAGGAGGAGGAGGGGACGGCACGCACAACCGACACCCCCACAACCATCACCCCCACACCCACCCCCCAACGGCTGCACCGGGTCCAGGAGCGGCTGCTGCAGGGGCCAGGGGCGGCTGCTGCTGGGGCGGCTGCTCCAGGGGCTGCTGCTGCTGGGGCGGCTGCTCCAGGGGCTGCTGCTGCTGGGGCGGCTGCTCCAGGTGCTGCTGCTGCTGGGGCGGCAGCTCCAGGGGCTGCTGCTGCTGGGGCTGCTCCTACTGGGGCGGCTGCTGCTGGGGCGGCTGCTCCAGGGGCTGCTGCTGCTGGGGCGGCTGCTCCAGGGGCTGCTGCTGCTGGGGCGGCTGCTCCAGGGGCTGCTGCTGCTGGGGCGGCTGCTCCAGGGGCTGCTGCTGCTGGGGCGGCTGCTCCAGGTGCTGCTGCTGCTGGGGCGGCTACTCCAGGGGCTGCTGCTGCTGGGGCTGCTCCTACTGGGGCTGCTCCTACTGGGGCGGCTGCTGCTGGGGCGGCTGCTCCAGGGGCTGCTGCTGCTGGGGCGGCTGCTCCAGGGGCTGCTGCTGCTGGGGCGGCTGCTCCAGGGGCTGCAGCTGCTGGGGCGGCTGCTCCAGGGGCTGCTGCTGCTGGGGCGGCTGCTCCAAGGGCTGCTGCTGCTGGGGCGGCTGCTCCAGCGGCTGCTGCTGCTGGGGCAGCTGCTCCAGGGGCTGCTGCTGCTGGGGCGGCTGCTCCAGGGGCTGCTGCTGCTGGGGCGGCTGCTCTAGGTGCTGCTGCTGCTGGGGCGGCTGCTCTAGGGGCTGCTGCTGCTGGGGCGGCTGCTCCAGGGGCTGCTGCTGCTGGGGCGGCTGCTCCAAGGGCTGCTGCTGCTGGGGCGGCTGCTCCAGCGGCTGCTGCTGCTGGGGCGGCTGCTCCAGGGGCTGCTGCTGCTGGGGCGGCTGCTCCAGGGGCTGCTGCTGCTGGGGCGGCTGCTCCAAGTGCTGCTGCTGCTGGGGCGGCTGCTCTAGGGGCTGCTGCTGCTGGGGCGGCTGCTCCAGGGGTTGCTGCTGCAGCGGAAATTAGGAGGGAGGGGAGGGGATGGGCGCGGCCCCCAGGGTGCCCTGATGGGCGACGTGCTAGGGAGCCGCGCAGGCCCCCGAAAGTGCCTCGACGGGCGACGGGAGGGGACCGCGCGCAGGCCCCTAAGGCGCCGTGACGAGGCAACGGGAGGGGCCGGCTCGCGGGCCCCGAAAGTGCCGCGACGAGGCGACGGGAGGGGCCTGCGTGCGGGCCCCTAAAACGCCGCGACGAGGCGACGGTCGGGGCCAGTGTGCGGGCCCCCAAGACGCCGCGACGAGGTAGGAACCCGCCGCGCGCCTCGGGGCGCACGGCGGGCAGAAAACCGCCACGCGTTCCGAGCGCGTGGTGGGAAGAAAAATAGAATGTCGCGCGCCACGGGGCGCGCGACACACAGTAGGGCAGCGGAAGCAAGTGAGCCCACAGGCTAGGAGCTTTAAGCTCTGATAGCATGTTAAGAAACTAGCGAGAGTTTGGCTTAGGAGCCATAGTAGCTTAGATGACTTGGTGAAGTTCGAGGGTGTAGGGTGTAAGGAAAATGTCGAGAGAATTGTGGAAGGAGAATGGTGAAACTAGAAAGGAGGGGGATACAAGTAGTAAGCCCTAAAAGGGTTATACTCACTTTTGAGTACCCCACTACAGACTAGACATGCATTATAATCTGACATTCATCACGCGCATGGTAACTACATGAAACTCCCGCCAAAATGATCCTGAAATTGATGAATTTATCGAGTTTGAACGCCTTTACGCATAGTTTTATCACTCTTGAACAAGTCCCGCCGCGATTTTGAAGGACCCTGTTTAGTCTAATACCATGGACCAAGAAGTTTCAAAGTTTATATGTATATAAATATACGGCTCATACAAAAACGGTTCAAATCATATTTTTTATAACATGATTGGGAACTTGCAAAATGATTAAAAACCTTTCCGCGAAAAGGCATCGGGCTTTTAAGTTTTGTAATTACTGAAACGTTGGCCATTTTTTTCACGTGGAAAAGATACACCTCTTTAGAATTACATGTTTCATTTTTCAAAAAAGAACCATATACACCTTGTCGCAAGGAGTTTAGGGTTGATGCTCCCAAATTCATTTGCCATGTGAAAGGGGTATAGACTTGTTTGCCACGGCTGTACGATAGAATTAAGTACAAACAGTTTGTGGAAGGAGCGCCAGAATATCAGTTGCATATAACACTTTGTTTTTGAAACACTTACAGTTTTGCAATTAGCTTGAAAATCGGAAAGTGTGTCAGGATTTCGGGAAGTGTGTCAGAATTTCGGAAAACTGTGTCAGAATCTCGGAGAGTGTGTCAGAGGTTTCTGCTTCAAGATTCGTCAATTTAGTCTAACGCGAGCGGGAAAAACCAGAATCAGGGTCATTTTGGGCGAGGGTTTCTTCTAGTTACCATTCGCGTGATGGGCTGCTAGTGTATAGTTACCATACGCGTTAAGCGAGATACCAAACGTGTTAAGCGAGTTACCAAACGCGTTAAGCGAGTTACCAAACGCATTGAAATCGTTACCGTACGCGTTATACTGCCCCATGTAAGTTACCATCGACATATTTTCCCTAATGGCCGATTTTTCGTCACATCACGAAGCTGCGTACAGTCCAAATAGCTGTTCGTGAAACTACGCATCCATACCTCCCATCTGGCGGACACTGCCCATCTGAGCTGTTGGGGTGAGTGGGGTGGGGCCATGAGGGATCTTGAGGGCGCTTCGCGTGTGGCGCCATGCGTCATGACACATTCACCCAGCCTGTCCCAGGCGCAATGCGCAAATCGCTCTGCTTTCAGCTCAATCCTCAAGTAGGTTACGTCTCTTTCCCAGACGTTTAACATCGGTACAATTCGGTACACTACGGCGAGAGTCACATCTTCGAACCGCTCGTTTCTTCCCCAACCAATCTCTCTGGCACCAAGAAATCCAAGTCTGTGTCAGTGGCAAAACCACATATACTTGCACATCGCACTCACAAAGACAGATTGAATCACATCTCATCCAACCATCGAAGCGAGCACTACCAACTGCTTCACTTGGCCCGCCTCACTAGCTTTCCTACGAGCTACTAGTGTCTAACATCGCAACAAGCGCTAATTAGGAGCAACCATAAGCAACCATCAGTAAGCGCAGCGCCGGTCAACCATGGCGTTTCCCGCCAGCCTTCCCTTGGCCCTCGCGCTGCTCTGCCTACTGCACGTGGCACACGCTGCGAACATGCCCGCCGGCGGTTGCCACACACGTTATGTGTGTCCCTACATAGACAACCTCGCTACCGCGACAATTACGACGTCCACGTACACCAACTACAAGTACATCGGCGACTTCCAGGGACTCTTTAACAGCCAGGGCGGCCAGTTCGCGCCGCACCAGCGCGGGTCGGGCCCTGTGAATTTCGAGCGGTACACGGAGGTGGGGACCATTTTCGACGTGGTGAAGGGCGTGTACGGTGACACGCTGCAGGAGTGCTGCCGCGCGTGTGCGCGCTCCACGTACTGCTACGAGTGGCACTGGTTCAAGAAGTGAGTACTTGATCCCTGAAGCTGCTACGAGAATATGTGCAGATTTGACTTAGTATTGCAAGTGGTTGGGTCCTTTTCTGCCTTTTTCCCCACCACTCGCCCCGCACGATCGTGTAATGGCTCAGAGTAATTCATTTCGATTCCTTCTACCCTTACCTGCTTCTCCGCAGCTCGCGCCTGGCGGGTGAGAATGCCAGGGTGGCGGGCTTCATCGACCGCATTCAGTGTTACCTGCTGGAGAAGAACGGCGGCACGGGCACGTCAGGCTCCTTCAAGACGCCCATGGCGGGCGACGCGGCGACGCAGGCGGCGAACGCGGCGACTTACCCGCTGAGCTTCGTGGGCGGGCTGTGCAACGGCACGGCGCTCGTCGAGAACGACCCGCATCTCACGGGCGCGCACGGCACGCACTACGACTTCACGGGCCGCCTCGATCGCTCCTTCTGCCTCTTCTCCGACCGTCGATTCCACGTCAACATGCATCTCAACGGCTACCAGGGCGCGCCGCCCGCCGTTTCCACATCGAATACGGACAAGGAGTCGAGCACGGAGCTGCACACGTGGATTAAGGAGATTGGCGTCGTGTGGATGACGCCCGACGGCGCGAACCACACGCTGCGCATGGTGGCGCGCAAGGGCAAGCAGCAGGAGCGCGGCGACAACGGCTTCCTCTCGCTGCTCGAGATCGACGGCGCCACGACCACCCCTCCCAGCGTTGGCGAATCCATCACGACGAACAGCGGGCTGGTGGTTACCAAAATCGCGGAGGAGAAGGAGGGGCCGTTCGACGTGGATCAGTTTCAGGTGCGCGTGGTGGGACTGGGGGAGCTCGACGTGCGCGTGCGCGTGGCGCATCCGCTGCTGCAGACGCCGGCGGAGGCGGAGACGCACTTCAACGTGGAGCTCTCCGACGTCAAGATGACGTCCGCCGTGCACGGCGTGCTGGGGCAGACGTTCAGGAACACGCCCGAGCAGCTGCAGCGCGCGGTCAAGTACTCGCACTTGGCGGCGCTGCTGCACCACCCGGTGGACGTGGATAAGGCGGAGGGGCGGGGCTTCCTAGACGGGCAGGTGGAGGACTACATCTCCTCGTCCGTCGTCGCGCCCGACTGCAAATACTCCGCCTACGCCTCTGCCTAAGAAAACGACAGCCCCGGTTGGCCCTAAAAGCATCTTCTATGGTTTTCGGAAACGTGCGACACGGAGCTGGTGGTTGGTTGAATGTTTCCTGATCGTGGGTTTAGAGGGAGGGCGAATTTGGGCCCTGCTTTGGTCCGTACCCCCAATTAATTCGAGCCCTCGAGGCTAATAAGGAACTCGGACCAGTGTACTGTTTATTCAATATATTCTATAATTGCAATGCCCATCTTTTTCAACATATCCCACGATCGGTACTTCCTAACAATACCCTAAACACAACGTTACATAAAAAACATTAGATCACCATATAATTCCTTTAATTATAGTACATTGTTTCACAGTTTAAGTTCCAAAACAAATTTGACTCTAACGTCGCTTTTGTTGGGCTGAAAACAAATCTTAAGGATCTTTCAAGACCAAACCCTGGGTAGATAAGGTTGAAGTTGTGTAACCGTTTTAATTATAAGTGTTGAACCACCTTGCGCTAGTATGTAAGGGCAAGATAGATTGATTATAGAAAAGTAATACAAGCCGTTTATAAGACTGCAAGGAATATGACGGGCTGTAACCAGGGACCAAAATTGGTCTAGGCCTACCCTTACAAATCAGGGTTCTAGCACCTCCTTAGCCCGACCCCTAGGATAAAAATTTTCGTACCCTGTTTGCAGCAGGTAAATCAACATACAGCATGATTTGAGCAGGGTAGTTTTAGGCTAAGCCTGTTTCGGCTAGTATTTTGTGAGCTAAAAAGTTTTTTATACTCATTTAAAGCTCCGGCACACATTTGAAAGGAGGGGTTCAAAAACCCTTAGGAACTTGAAAGGTTGCCCAAAAACTGTGAGGCGCAATATACAAACCCTAAACCCGGCTGTCAAATGTATACTCGAGCTTTAATAAAGTAGCACTCACAGCAGGGTCCTCGCTATCAGACATTTTTGTCTGTTTGTCTTAGAACTCAGACGCTTTTTTCTCAGTTAATCTGATTTTCCTATATTTGATTTCGATTTCATATGATTGGCTAGAAAGCATTTTTTAGTTTCATCTGATGCATTAGAAACGTATTTTCTAATTCATCTGAAACCGAATCATGTTATAGCCTATAGTTTCGAGCATTTCCTGATCTGAGATGTCAACCGGACCTGCTATGATTGGGCGAAACATGCCCTGACGAGGCGAATCTCTTGTGTGAGGGCGAATCTGCTCTACTGTCAAGGTATTTCTGCTGTGATTGGGCAAATTCGCTGCTCTCTGACATCACAAAATGGTGATTGGGCGAATTTTGCTGTGCTCTGACAGCACGAAACCACCGTGCCAGGGCGCATTCGCTGTCAGGGCTTTTTGGAAACGTCTGACCAATCAAACACAGAAGTAGCAAATTTCTGACGCATGAGACGGGCCCGAAGGGTTTTATGCCAGTGGTCACAAGCGACAACGCCTGTTTGTGTGGGTGTTGTACAGTTTGTCACAACGAGAAGTATGGCCTGCTCCGCGGTAAAGAAGTTTCGGTATCAGGGTAGTGTACACCCTACCCTGACACCGTCAGGCTAACCATAAATCCAATCAGTGTAAAAAAAATGCTCTTTTTGCAGAAGGGTAACTATCGTGAAATCCTGATTTTAGGGTTACTCCTGAAAAAGCGGCCGCCCCCCAGGGTAATCAGGGCGTTTTACCCTGATATTTTGGGCCTTGGTTGTAACTAATAACTGTTTTACTGTTGCTGTTGCGGTTCGATACAGTGACGACTCAGGCAACTGCTCAGTGTCGAGCCAGTTGTTTGTCCTTGCTGTCGCACTGTATTTGTCAAGTCAAAGGTCAACGACCTTTGACCTTCGCGTAACTTTCAGTAGTTACGTTTTCTGTCAACATCCGATGGTTGACTCGCCGTTGCTTCGTTGTAGTTTGCTTCGCTTGCAGTTCAGTGTTTCGACACATCAGAAGCGCATAAGTTACTTGTTTCCAACACTCCCTTTCGCTTCTGGAGTGTCGCTGCTGGTGACGTGGCTTTGTCCAGTCAGCAGCATACAGTACTCGAACTTCTGTTTTTCGAGCTTCTTGGTCAAGTAATTGACAAAAGTAGAACAAAGAAGAGTGGGGATACAAATAGCAAACCCTAACAGGGTTGTACTCGCTATAGAGCACCCCACTACAGGCTAGATGAGAACATTCTGACACACCCCCATAGCCAAAGTGGGGTGTAATCAGCAGAGCAAGCAAAGCAGTACAAGCTCAGGGTGGATCACAATGTCACCACACATTCTGAGCACAAGTTCAAGAAGCAATAGTTTAAAGTTAAGAATTATGAGCAAAGCTAGAGGCTATCGTAGAGGGCAAGTGAGGAGGAGGAGGCGAGAGTGAGAGGAAAGGAGATAGGAGGCGACGGATGAAGCTGCAGACACACGGGCAACAGGAGGCAGACTGGCACAGCGGCTACCGGACGAAGCCCCCGGACTACAGGGGTAACTGGCCCCGCGGCTAAAGTAGCGGCAGACGAGCAACGGACCCACGGGCGGCTGGCACAGCTGGCTACGACTGAGCTACCGGACGAAGCCCCCGGACTATAGGTGCTGCTAGCGACACAGCGGCATCCTTCATTCAGCTCCCCAAACAGTCTCACCCCCCCTTGCACACACCCCCTACTGCACCCCTAGGGTCACTCACACCCCACCCCCTAGCACGACTCCAGCGACTCCCACACACCCAACCCCCTCAGCGGCAGCTGCAGCAGTGGGAGACGGAGGAGGAGGAGGAGCAGGGGAGACCACACACCCGCCACCCCCATACTCGCCACCCCTTACTCGCCACTCCCCAAACCCTAACTCAGGCAGGGCGGGATGGCAGGTAGGGAGGTAACGGGGGAGGGGGAGGGGGGGGGGGGGGGAGAACCGACGCGCGGCCGCCCAGGGCGCCAAGACAGGCAACAGAAAAGGGGGGGGGGGGGCGGCGCTCGCCCCCCTCCCCCAGGTAAGTCGGCCCCCGAGGGTCGCCTCGACAGGCGACGGGAAAAGGGGGGGTCGCACGCGGGGCCGGGGCCGGGACGGGCGGCGCACGGGCGTCGACGGGCCGGCGCGCGGGTCCGCGTCGCCCGTCGCAGCGCCTCCCGAGGGCGACGCGCCGAACGACGAGGCAGAAGCCCGCCACGCGCCTCGGGGCGCACAGCGGGCAGAGAACCGCCGCGCGCCTCAGGGCGCACGGCGGGCAGAAAACCGCCGCGCGCCTCGGGGCGCACGGCGGGAAGAAAAAACTGCCGCACGCCACGGGGCGTGCGGCACAGAGAGTAGCAGTAGCAGTTGCAGCGGAAGCAACGAGGTGGTGGTAACCCACCCACAGGATCGATCCAAGAGGATCGACCTGCTCTGATAGCATGACAAAAGTAGAAGAAAGAAGAGTGATTGACTAGCAAGAATGGGGATACAAATAGCAAACCCTAACAGGGTTGTACTCGCTATAGAGCACCTCACTACAGGCTAGATGAGAACATTCTGACAGTAATCAGCTGCCATCTCGGACGTGGGACAATAGGACTGCTCGAGTCTCCCCTTCTCGATCTCGTCCTTCACGAAGAAATATCGCAGGACGATGTGCTTCGTTCTGTTCGCGAATCCATTCTAGTTGGCGATGCGAATTGTTGACTGGCTGTCGCAGCACAGAGAGAAGCTGGGTGGCTGGGCCAGTTTCGCTTCTTCCAGTAGTTTGCCAAAGTATAATCCTTCCTTGGTGGCTGAGCAAATTGAAATGTATTCTGCTTCAGCTGAGGAGAGAGCTATTAGCTCTTGCTTGCTCAACTGCCACGAGATAGGTCCGATAGGCTCGAGTCTGTAGATGTAGCTAGTGCGTGAGCGCCTGTTGTCAGAGTCACCGGCATGGTCAGCATCGACGTAGCCGATCAGCTTGGGCGTCGTAGTTCCAGTTTTGTGGTAGGTTAAACCGATTGTTGGAGTGCTGATGAGGTAGTGGAGTGCGCGGTCGAGCTCCGCCATGTGCTCTGCTTCGGGTTTCTTAAGGTAGGTGGCGAGTTGGCTTGCAAAGTACGAGAGGTTCGGTTGGCAAGTGACGGCTACGAAGAGCAAACATCCCACATTTCGCTGGTAGTCGCGTATGCCGGCGGGCTTTAGTAGAACAGAGGCTTCCATGTGATTTCTGGTGGTGTAGCGATACGACGTGTGTCAGATTTATATGACATATTTGCTGTAGGCTATAGTGGGGTAGCACATATGGGGTACAGGGTTTCTAGGGTTGTATTTGTACCCAATCTTTCCTTAGTCATTTCATTCCTGTTCATTCTTTTCACATGGTATAGAGCGGGTCCCTCCTAAGGACCGTTTTTTTTAAGGGCCCACCCACGATTTTTTTCCTGCCCGGAGCGCGCCCCATTCTCCCCGAGGCGCGCTCCCCCTAGTGCTTGTCGCGCTGCCCTTGTGGCGCCCCGAGAGTCGCGCGCGCGACTCCTTTTTTTTCGCGCGCGCGGCCCGGGCCCCACGTCGCGCTGGCCTTACGGCCGCGCCGCGCCGCCCTCTCGGCTCTGCCGCGCCGCGCCGCCCTCACGCCGGCCGCGCGGCCTCTTCGTCGCTGCAGCGGGCCCCGTCACCTGACGGCCCCGCCGTCCTACTCCCGGCCCCGCCGCTGCACCCTGCCGGCCCCGCCGCTGCACCTCTGTCGGCCCCGCCGCTGCACCCTAAAGGCCCCGCCGTCCCCTGTCACGGCCCTGCCGTCCCCTGTCACGGCCCCGCCGCTGCACCCTGACGGCCCCGCCACTGCACCAGTCGGCCCCGCCGCTGCACCCTGACGGCCCCGCCGTCCCCTGTCCCGGCCCCGCCGCTGCACCCTGCCGGCCCCGCCGCTGCACCTTGACGGCCCCGCCGCTGCACCCTGACGGCCCCGCCGTCCCCTGTCCCGGCCCCGCCGCTGCACCCTGCCAGCCCCGCCGCTGCACCCTGACGGCCCCGCCGTCCCCTGTCACGGCCCCGCCGCTGCACCCTGCCGGCCCCGCCGCTGCACCCTGA